ACGTGCTTCTGTTATATAATATTGGCTCTCTAAATATCAAATGAATATAAACCGTAATAATTAGAGTCTGTTAAATAAACAAAAAAATGAGGGTATAAAGTATTTATAGAAATCATTCATATGCTGGATTGCGCTTTCCACTATTATTAATTCCTATCCAGTTACTTAACACAGCATAAAGGAATGATGACTTAGCATTATGTGAACTTTCAAAGGCAGATTCCTCTCCCATTAGTAGTTTTCAAAGATAATAGTATAATTAAAAATATTTTTAATCTGGATTTTACAAATGATAGAAAACATAATTTGATGACATCATTTCAGGTCATTACCTGTAATGAGTCAGAATTCTTTTCTGACCTATTTAATTCAATAATTATGTACCCACTCTTACTTTCAAAAGCACATAATGAAGTTAGCAAGAATTAAGAATGGGTGAAATATTATTGAGTTACTATGAAAAGCTCAATGTCTAGAAGAATCTGGCTCTGCAGGTTTGTTAACCTCATAGTCAGAAAATTACCATTAATTCCCGCAGGAGCACAGCAGTTCAAAAGCCCAAGGACTTTAGTTATCAATAGGAGGCAGTGCGGCTTTAGGGTTCAGAGAGCAGGCTCTGTAGTCTCCATTATCAGCCCATTGCTTATTAGCTGCGTGACCTGAGTTTCCTCATTGGTTCAAGTGGGATCGCAATAGGGCTGCTGTGAGGATTAAATGAGACGTGCATATACAATGCTTAGCACAGTTGCCAAGATGAGTAAGTGCTCAGTGAATGTTTCCTATTATTCTATATATTCTGAATAAAGTTGACAGAGAATGTACAGACTTCAAAAGAGCTCAGAACTGGTTTGTAATTTGGCAGTTTGAAATAGATGAGATATTTTATTTGAAGCTGACAATGTATTGACCCAAAGGCCATCTTTGTTTAATAAATTTGCACTCCAAAGTTCAGCACAGTTTATCCTCCCTGGCATTTCAATTGATTAGAATGAATTTGTTTAAGGTATCCCTCTTTTTGATCAATGATTATATAGCATGATTGTATATTATGTGAAAACCTAATTTTCTTGAAACCTGAGTAGATTATGGATTCAAGACAGGTTTGTTAATTTGTTATTCTTTCTAAATTACCGCTAACTGGCTATTTAATTATACTCACTTTGTATTTTCTTGAAGGCATTAAAAAAATTTTACTCCTCGTTTGATCCAACCAACCATATGTCCATAGTATAAGTGAAGCACACCCACAGCTGATGTTTAAGCTAATGAAATGAGAAATGTATTACATATCAGCTTTGAATAGTTCATTTATGCTGTTAGAGTGAAAAAGTAGTAGTTTCCATCTGTACTTTGGAAATTAAACATTTGCTTCTGAAAGATCTTATTTTAATTGGAACTAATATTAGTTTATTAGTAAAAGGGCCCTAGAGGAGTTAAAATGAAATCATGTTGCAATAATTAAAAGGCTATGTTGTATTTCTCTCCAAACCCTAAATCTCTTTCACATTATCTTCTATGGTAGTAAAAATGAGACCTTTACATAATTTTATGTCTTTTCTTTTTTTTTTCTTTTTTTGCCAAGATCTATATAAGAAAATGCTGGGAGCTGCTACACTGTTATAGAGACAATAATAACAGATTGAAGGTGTTGAGAGAGAAAATTAAATTATTACTGTATTGCCCACTTGATAGATATGTGAGAAAAATATTTTTTAGTGGAGAAGATTGTGAGTAAAGTTTTCCAAATAAAACGTTACTACAAATGTTGATATCTCATCTCTTGGTATTTAGCTACAGTTTGAGACTTAATAGAGGATGTCAAAGAGGCTAGAAGCCACTTCATCGTGTTCTTTAGAATAGTTTTGGTGAGTAGTTTGCTGTTCATTTCATAATCTGAAGGAAATGTGAAATAATTAGATACATTTTAAAAGAGTTCCCTCCTCTTTTATTAGTACTAAAAAGTAATGATGAGTTCATTAAGCATATTGGAATGTTCCTATAAGTCTGCATAACTAAATTTTTGGAGCTCCTTAATTATGAACAAAACCTAAATCACATTAAAATTCAAGCTGGACATGTTGCAATTGTAACTACATTTTTGTACGATTTTTACATTTATTCATTCATTCATTTAATAACTCAATTTATTCAGTTATCCAATTATTAAGTGTCTAGCCTATCACTTAAGATTCAAATGGGAAAAAGTTTCAAAAAATTTAAAAACTTATAAACACTGTGGTGACATGACTCATTTATAACATGACTGATTGAGTGGCAGATACTGTTGTACTTACTGCTGAGAGCAGGCTTAATTAATTGGATTGTACATAAAATGAGTCTGAAGGAGGTAAGCAGGGGAAGGACAGCAGTGTGGGCTCAAATAGGCTAGAGGCAGTGGGGGCTAAAAATTGATAATAGATTTAGGATTTATTTACATGATAGAGCAGACTGTATTTTACTGGACATTTGGATATAAAGGATAAAGAAGAGGAGGAAGTCAATGAAGACACCTGGATTTTATGGGTGACTGGGAACCAAGATCGAATATAGTAGAGGAAAATTCTTTTTCTGGTGTAGAAAACGATGTGTTTTGATTTAAATAAGATGAGTTTTTGGGTTATAAAAGATTCAAATAGAATTTTGTAATAAGTTGTTGAATACAGTTCTGGAATTCATGAGAAAGGTCTCGATTAGAGATATATTTGCAAGTCATATCCATATAGATGAGAACTGTGATTTGGGACTATTTCTCCTAGGTAAGGTAGTATGAGTTTTCTTTCTCCCTGGTTTTCTTATTCCACCTACTAAAAGTGAGACAGAGATTTGGTAGTATCTCACTATAGAGTACTATCACACAGTAAAAGTTTCTGTTATCCCAGAAGTTTCTATGATAAAGGATGTATTTCCACTCTTCAAATGGTAGTTACTAGCTATATGTGTTATTGAACACTTGAAATGGGGTAAGCGTGACTAAGTAAGGAACTGAAGTTTAAACATTATGTTAATTAATTTAATTTGTAATAGCCACATGAAACTAGATGACTTTTTTTTTATTGGACAGTTTTCTAAGAGAATGGACAAAGAGAGGCATGTTGATTACTCTGGCAGGTTGAGTGGTTACTATATTTTAGTAGGTAGAAGAAACAAGGGGCTATATAAATTCATAGATAATACCAATATTTCTGCACATCAAGAATATGGTAGATAAAAACAAAAGAATATGGCAGATAGAATGATAAGGAATGATGCTATGGTTTAGATATGGGTTTTGCCCTCAAAAGTTAATATTTTGAAATTTGACCCCCAGTGTAGTGGCATTGGGTGGTGGTGGAGCTTTTTGAGCTGAGGTCTAGTTGGCAGTAACTAGACTATGGATGTATCATTCACATGAATGAATTAATGATGTGTTGCAATACCCAGTGAGTTGTATCTCTCATAAGAAGGGATTAATTCTCTCCAGAAAGGGTTATTATATAAGGAAGATGGCTACTCCAAGGTATGACTCTCTACATAAGCTCACCATCCCCACTTCTTTTTTTTTTTTTTGGAGAGATTTTCACTGTAGGGCGCGTGCGTTCGCCAGACAGACAGAGACATAGAGACAGAAACCGAGAAATCACCCCCAGGGGGGATGATCATGCTGCAATCCCTTCTCCTCCATTCTCCTCTCGGGATCTTGGGCACGCACGCACACGCGCCCGGCATGAGTTTTAAGCCACCGGGTCCGGGACACGAACCGCGGTCGACTAACGTGGGAGTCCAGCGACATAGCCATTACACTAACTGCTGGTTCCCGCCATCCCCACTTCTTTTGAGGCCACGTTGTAATGTAGTCTGCCTGATGACAGCCTTATGCTTTTGGACTTTCCAGCTACCAGAACTGTCAATCAGGTAAACCTCTATCCCTTGTAACTTTTCCAGTCTCAGGTATTTCTACAAGCAGCACAATAGTCAATTGAAGAGATGGTATGCCATATATGCAGATAAGGATTTGGATATAGAAAAAGGTAATATATATCAATATTGGTATACCTTCCAGGTTTAGAGTTATTGCTCTAAAAATTAATCTGCCTGCATCTTAACATGGAATGGAAGTTTCCTCAATATAAGTACTATGGCATTTAGAGAGTAGACTCTGCATTTTGGCAGCCAGAGTCCAAATCTCTGTTCTGCTATGTAATAGCCAAATGTCTGTGGAGCAAATTTTTTGTTTTTCTGTGTCTTAATTATCCAACTATTAAAGGCTGGAGGAAGGGGACTGCAACAAGACCAGTCCCTCCAGAGGGTGTTTTTATTTTATTTTTTCTCTCTCTCTCTCATCCCCTCACATGTGTGTGCGTGAGCTCACGACAATGAATTTAAAAAACAATAATAATGATAAAAGATAATCTAAGGATTAGCCCTACTGACAGATGCATCTTAATTTTATTTAGAGTTGTGTTATTTTAGGAATATTTTGTATATGAGGTTGCCAATTTATTTTCATTAATCTTTTTGATTATAGGAAAAAACATTTTAGTAAAACAATTTTATTACTTTATTAAAACTTTAATTTATTAATACTTTTATTATTTCTAGAAGATATAATTTGTACCTTTAAAATTTCTTCTGCTTAAAACTCAAATACTTTCTCTATAAATATCTTTATATATACAATTCCAACTGTTTTTCACACGGACTTCTTTTTATAGTTTTTAGGCTTATATTACATAGAAAGATAAATTATTACATTGCCCCAGGTTCATTGAAAGCAAAAATGACATTAAGGGTAAAGATAATCTTTTAAAACATTTATCTAAAAATGACTTTTATTGTCTTTGATTCCCTTTAATTTTCAGATATCCAAGTAACCCTGCTGAAACTTTTTATAACTGCATTAAAAAAATGAAAACTCTATTAATCAACTATTTGTTTAAAAATACAACCTTACATTTCCTGCAAACTATAGAAATCCACAAGTTCAAAGATTACAGTCTTCTTTTTTGTACTTATTTTTACAGTAATTCCTGAGTTTGTAACCCAAGTGAATGTTGCCTTGGAAGCTTTAAATAAGAATTCATTAAATGTGTTTGATGATAATCAATTTGTGGATGTCTCAAAGAAGATCTATGATACAATTCATGATATCAGATGTTCAGTCATGATGATTCGGGTAAGTCAGCTTTACCTTCCACTGAATTATTTCAACATTCTTCACCATCTGGAATGCCGGAAATGATTGCAAGAATGTTTTATTTCTGTGCTGTAATGTCAATGCTGAAATGCATTAGAACTTTAGCAATTCATATGTATCCCCAAAGTCAGATCTACTGTCACAGACAACAGTTTTACTTATGTATTTGGTTATAACTTACCCAAATGAGCACATTTAACCACTGCGTGTGCAGAAACATGAAGACGCATTGTGTGCAGGATTTCTTGAGGTGTCAATTTGATCAGGAGCCAAAGAAAAACGCAGTAAGTAATTTGCTTTCTTTTCTTGAACAAAACAAAAAAAAAGTTCTCATCATTGTAGTGGAATTGATAAGGAAACTGTGTTAAAACAAAATATTTCTATGACCAAACCCTTTCTTCCAAGATCAGAGAATCACAGAGTGTTCTGCGAGCAATCTCACTTGGAGCTGCTGGGAACTACAAAGACTTAAATTGTCCTAGTCTAAATGTTGTTTATTTAGGGAAATATATGCCTTTTTCCCAGGGGTGTGAGTGTACCATTTGTTGTGGATACACTTTATACAGAGACTGGAATTCTTTGTTTTTCCTCAAGTGTTAATTATTTTCTTGTCATAGGGTGGGCGCCACCATGCCCCTCAGTTGTTAATTATTTTCTTAATGTTACATAAAAACTAGTTAAGTTCTTTAGAAAATACAAGTGTGAAGATACGAAGATACCTTAACTTAGTCTGGGTTTGCTTGGAGCCAGAACCTGAGGTGTAAGGATTTGTGGTATCCATAGTCTATTTCAGAGAAAGTGAGACAGAGAAAGTGAGTCAGCAAAGAGGAGGAGGAAACTAATAAGATGTGATTATAAGTCATTTCAGACAAGCGGGACTTGATCCTGCTGGTGAACTAGAAGAGATACAATAGAACTCACCTCAGAACTGTCTCACTTGAGATAAGCAAAATCTGGAGGTTTTTGGCCTGTTGATCTTCGGTTAAAGGATATCTTCAGAGGTGTTACTGTAGCCTCATGCTCAGAAACAATCAAGCTTTCATGATCAAAGAAAGCAATCCTCAGGCAGGATAGCAGGTGCTCAAAGTGAAAAGATGCAGTAGGACTGTTGAATTGACTTTGTAAGTATAAGTAGAATTCAGTTTGAATGACTCTGCACTTGATTCTTAGTAAGGCTCTAAGATGGAAATAGAAGTGCTGAGAAGATATGAGTGAAGCCGTGGCAGTATCTGATAGGCCTGAAAGTCACAGTTGGGCTGCACTGAGAAGTCCATACAAATGGAGTCATGAGTAGACCTCATAAAGAAAAGGGTCAGTAGACAATGGGGAGCCTGGCAGGGCTAATGGATGCTGTGGAAGAGATTGTGAGACAAAGGCTAAAAGGTGTCAAGACCTAGTATCTAGCATTTTTGGGTTTTGGAAAAGCTGAAAGCAAACCCATTATATGTATCAGAGAAAACTTCTAGGATAGTCACCACATAATGACACGGGTCAATGACAGGCATCATATATGACAGTGGAGCAACAGGCTATTCCTTACAGCTTTGGTATGTAGAAGACTTTGCCATCTGGGTTTGTGTAAGTATTCTTTGATGTTCACACAAGAACAAAACCACCTAACAGCACTTCTCAGAATGTATCTACATTGTTGAGTTATGCATGACTATCCTGGAAGTAATCTGCTTGTATTTGTTCATATGTGATTGGAAACTGTGGCACTAATACTATGAACAGCAAAGACCTTTTACCAGATTTGTTGTTGTTGCTGTTCTTATTAAGGTTTCCATGCCTTACCTGTGTAGATTAGTAGACTAGTAAAAAACCAGAGCTGGGAGGATAGGTGTGTGCTGGAGAGCAAACTGAAAGTGTGAAGAGGACACATGAACTACAGGAGATAGTCTTACCAGAATGAAAACCCTGCATTTTCTTCCTGATACATATTTGAGAAGATGAAGCAGTGAAATTGTGTAGAGAAGCCAGAGTAGGGAATGCAGTTTTATTTTAAGAGAGGTTTTAGCTATAGGATGTGTATGCTTGCTGGACAGACAGAGAGAAAGAGAGAGACAGAAAGCAAGAAATCACACCCAGCCCTGGGGGGGATTTCCACACTGCAGTCCCTTCTCCTCCAGTCTCCTCTTGGGATTTGGGCACACATGCACACACTCCTGACATGAGTTTTAAGCTGCTGGGTCCAGGAGTTGTACTGCAGTCGACTACGAAGAAGTCCAATGACATAACTATTACACCATCTGCTGGTCCTGAGAATGCATTTTTTAATGCTAAAGCTATCTAGGGATGAAATAATATCTCATATCTTCTCACAGATATTGCAGTATTAAAAATTTTCCTTTTTTTTAATCAAGGTGGCTTACTTATAGCAAGTTAAATTATCTTGCCATTATATATATTGTGTATATGTATATATTTATTATACATGCACATGTATAATATACTATATATATCTATTGTATATTATATATATATTATTTACACTTAATCATATATATCTTTATACTGTATAACATTTCTTTTTTCAGCATGAATACCATACATATCAGTCAATAAAGAGGTATTACTATATACATTATCATCAGCAAATAGCTTCTTATTTTTTGTCAATTAGACGTACTTTACTTTTCTTCCCTTCCCCTTTCCCTCCCTCTTGTCCATACTAAACTTTTTGTTTCACATTTTATTGACTCACAAAAGATCTCAAACTAAAAATATGGACATTATTTTTACATATTTCTTACATATAGCAGTTTTATGTATGCTGAAAATTTTATTGTAATTAATAATAACTTGAGGCAGTGACTTTTCACTATAGAGATCTCCTTTTCCAGGTAAATACATCCGTTTCTGAATTTTTCTCATAGGAATAATTTAGTACTTTGTGTTCTTCACTAGTCCTTATTTAATTTTCAACTGAGACTAATTGAGACTATTCTAAGGCCTATCTAATGTCAGATAAAGTGCAAACTTGTACTTCTATGTGATTATATATATATATATATATTTTTTTTTTTTTTTTTATTTCTTTTTTAATTCACCAGAGGGTAAATGCTAGAGAGAGAGACTGCACTTCCTAATGGGGCTGGTCATGCTGTAATTCTTTTTCCACCATTTTTTCATCCCATTATTATTTTGGATACACACACACAAGCACAGCATGTTTTTCTTTCACTTTTTTTTTTTTTTTTTTTTTACAAATTTTTGTTATAGGGCGCATGTGCTCTCATATGTGCCTGGTGTGAGTTTTAAGCCACTGGGTCTGGGATTCCAACTGTGGCTGACTGTGTGGGAGTCCAGCAATGTAACCGTTACATCATCTGCTGGTTTCAGTGTTTTTCAGGCTGCCCGGTCCAGAATTCAAACTGCAGTCAGCCTCTCAATGCACAGTATTTACCTACTGTGCTAGGGGACTAGCCCATCCGTTATTTCCTCTGATACAGCCAGCTGCTGTTAACCTGCTTTTGTTTGTTTGTTTGCAGTTTTGTTTTTTATTTTTGAACACCAGCATTGTTTGATAGAGGATGACTTCCCTTTACTTTTTTATTATCCTTTTATAATCTAGAGTCTTAGTTTCTTTTTTTTTCTTTTTTACATTAATTCACTATACATCATTACAACATACAAATAAATGAATTTTCTATCCAAAATACCCTGTATATTGGCTCAATCAAGTACATCAACATACATGTTATCAGCCAATAATTTTCCATTTCTTATGTCTTGTATACTTTGTGTTTTGTTTTGTTTTGTTTTGTTTTGCCATCCTTGGTTCCCATGTCCCACCCTCCTCCCACATTGTCTCTGGTATCCATGGTTGCTTTCTATGCCTCCCCCCCCACCCCGTTTAATTGATTTGCTAATGAACTTAATCTAAATATTTCCAATAGCAAGCGCAGCTGATATATACCTATACATGAACCCAAGTCTGACTTTAGGCATAAACCTCAGTGAGTAGAATGAACATACTACAAAGTAGTACCTAGCTGGGGCTATATGGCTTACTGCAGTCATCAAATATGCATTTTTTAAAAATTTTGATAAGAATAGTTTTACTGTTTTTTTTTCTCCTGAAACTTATTTTTTTTTAAATTACTTAACAATCATTCCCTGAGCATCATCACAACATACTAAATGTGGTTTCCCATCTAGAATAAACATGCATGATTAAGCCACTATGCAGTTTATTCTGAGTCTTAGTTTCTTCATCTAAATAACTACTAGAAATATTAAATTATAGTGTTCCTTTGTCTGATTATAGTCCCTATTAGATGGCTCTAGTTATGGACATTAGTATTAAAAATGCTCATAATATTGCTTTATCTAGCTGAGGACATGTTTATAAGTACATACATTTTTTTTTTTACTTATTTTTTCCATAAATGAGAGAGACACAGTGAAAGAGAGAGAAAAAGAGAGAGAGTAACCCCCAAATGAGTCCTGATGCCACAATCCACCCTGGCCATCAGCCAGCCCCAGATCATGGGCATGTACATACCCAGGTCCTCAGATGAACCAGAAACCTTCTCATATGGGACATGCAGAGTGACACATTTTGCCTCTGTACCACTATCTGTCCACCGATAAGTTTGTTATTTGAAAAATAGTTTTTTTTTCTCTAATTTTGAGGGTAGCAATAGTCCTTCTTTAAAATAGGTTTTATGGCCAAAAGGATAAGACAGATAAAAACTGAGATGCTGTACTTGAAACCATGGAAAAGAGACTGGAAGCTCATCATCTCTGTACCTATACCCCCAATTCTCTAGAAAACCTCTGATGGAACATCTATAATATTTGTGCAGGGATTCCCCAAAGGATGATCTGTAATTCTCTGGACTTAATACAGGATGAAAATAGCCCTCTACCTCAGGGACAATAATTACACAATCAATAAAAATCTATTCTTTTTTTTTTCTTCTTAAAGACCATTTCTTTATCACAGAGGATAATAAAGTTGATCTGTTATAATC